CACTGTACCAGGGCTCACAGCTCGCACTGTTCCAGGGCTCGCAGCCCCTGCACTGTACCAGGGCTCACAGCTCGCACTGTTCCAGGGCTCGCAGTGCCCGCACTGTACCAGGGCTCACAGCTCGCGCTGTTCCAGGGCTCACAGCCCATGCGCTGCTCTCGTGTAAAGTGTAAAGTATATAGTACAAAGAGAGTGTCCACTAGCTTCGGGCTTTCTGCAAATGGTGGCACTCCAGGGTTTGGAGAGTACAGTCACTTCACAAAATCAAGTTGTTATTTCAGTCTCCACATTTCACTTGGGTCTCTTGTCTTTTATTCCAGTGCCCCTTTAACAGGATTGTTAGAGTTAAACCATTGATTTGTTTTAATTTAGTTTAATTGATTTAATTTCAACATAGCATCAAGAAAGACTATCGGGGCAATGACTTGTTGCTAGGTAGGAAACAGATTTACGTAATACTGCATTCTGTGAACAACTCTGTAACCAAGGAAATTGCATGTGTGCCTACTTTGCTACATCATCAACTGGCTTGGGATTGGATCAACAATTAATTCTGATGGTGCTGGATGCAGGAAAGGAGAAAGTAACCAGACATACAGACAGAGACATGTGCTTGCTCAGACACAGACACAAACGTGTACACACACACACACGCACATGTGTACAGGTGTTGATGCAGACGGAAAACAAGCACGTGACTAAATAGCTGAAATGATATTTGCATTAAATGAAGAGAGGTGTAACAAAAGGTACAAAGAGCCCATGCATCACTGAGATGATGGGAGCGCAGACAAGGCAGGTCTGACATGGGACTGAGAATATCCCCCTGTACTTGCTGCTGAAATCTGGTGTGCATGTACTGACTCTGTGCCAGCTGTGTGCTTCACATAGTTTAGGGCACCTTGTCATTATGCAGTGTCCAGGCAAATTCCTGAATTTAATCTGTCAATATTCTCAGGTGGACAACACCTAGATTTGTCTCCTGCGGATGTTATTATCAAAAAAAATCAAAAAGGTTCTTGATTGGGAAGCTGTATGGAGCAGCAGTGCCCCCTCCTGGCTTTACATTAAACTGTCAGCTTTGACTCACCTGTGACCACTCTCGCCACCTATCCCTCCTGCCTGATCCTCCATACATGCTCCCCTATCCTGCCCCACTCAGTCCCAGTCATGTGGATTAGGAGGTGGGACATGGTGCAAAATATTTACCATCTTCTTGCTGACTGGTGCCTGTAGCCTGAAGAACGGCTGGTTATTTCCAACAGGCCATCCTGATGCAGCAAGAAGACCCCTTTCTAATGGGTGCCTCGTCAAGCCGCTACTTGTTCTTGGGTTTCACAAGAAGCAGTAAACCTACAGCTGTATTGGGCAAACATTATCATCATTTCTGTGTCTGGGGAGTTGCTGACGTTTTCAGCACTGATTCAGTGTGGTGTGCAAGGACAGATGGGAACCTTGGATAGATAGGTTGTTCTAGGAGAGGAAGCTAATGGCAGAGGGGGGCAGGAGCGGTAGCCACGTTAGTGTTTAGTTTTTCTGAGCAACTCTGTTCTACTGCACCCGTCTCATTTTTCACATAGGCCTCTCAGAACAAAACGACCAACTGAATGCCATTTGTGCTGAAGTGTTGCCAATTCCAAGCTGTGAACACAGCCCGGAGGAGCTGTTGCCCAGGCTGCCAAAACAACGTTCCCGCAGGACCCTCAGATTTGGCAGAGCTGGGACCCTTTCAACACAGCAAATCGCAAAGCCAGTGCTAAAGTGCCTGTTTTTGCCTCTTGCGCCTTATCTTGTTATGTGTTGGATTTTGAACCATCAATGTTGTTAACAGCTTCATGATCAAGTGAAATCGCAGTGTAAGAAAACATTATCTAAATAGCATTGGTTAAACTAACTGCATATTCAATAAGCTTGACCACTGCACTTCACATTACACTAATTGTGAGGTTTTATATAAAGTGCGCTGTGGGAATATCCACTGTGGAATGCAAATAAACAGTGGATTGTTTGCGATGTAATCTGCAATATTCGTTCTAACCCTTCTTCTGTAATTATTTTCCTGCTTTTGCTGTATGTGACATTTGCTCACTTCAAAATGACTTGTCTGACCGCCAAGTAGAGGTGAGAAAGGACAACAGATACTTCACTGATGTCACACGCAGTTGCTGCCTGTTGATACTTTAACAGGACAAACTGGGTCCAAACAGGCTGGGGTCAAAAATTTAAAGCTTCCTGTTTGGCTGAGCCAATGTTGCTAGGTCGTAGATTTCACCTGGGAACTGAGACAGTTGTCTGAAAGCTTTAAAAGCATCTGTAATACCTGTATTTAGCAGACCAGTGGCTACTACAAAGCAACTGCTGCACTGCCAAAGGTGCTTAAGATGAGATGAGGCCTGATGGAGTTAAAAGATTTGCTGGCACCATCTCAAAGTGAGGGGAGGGATGCAGGGAAGTTATCTGGAGCAAGTGACGGACCTGTTTCATTCTACAAGTGAGACCAAAATTGATGTTGGAGTGGACAGGGAAGAAGGTTATCCCAGAGGACAACCGGACCTTAGCCATGGCCTGAGGAGTGGCTGACGGAGTTTAATTTAGATAAGTGCAAGGTGTTGCATTTTGTTACGGCAAACCAGGGCAGGACTTCTCCAGTTAATGGTAGAGCCCTGGAGAGTGTTGCTGAACAAGAAGACATAGGAGGGTGCAGGTCCATAGTTCCTTGAAAGTGGAGTCACAGGTAGACAGGGTGGTGAAGAAAGCGTTTGGCACGCTTGCCTTCATTGGTCAGAACATTGAGTATAGGAGTTGGGATGTCACGTTGCAGTTGTACAGGACATTGACACAGACCACTTTTAGAATACTGCGTACAAGTCTGGTCGCCCCTCTATAGGAAGGATGTTGTTAATCTTGAGAGGGTGAAGAAAAGATTTACAAGGATGTTGCTGGGACTGGAGGGTTTGAGTTATAGGGATGGACCGAATAGGCTGGGGCTTCTTTCCCTGGAGTGTCAAAGGCTGAAAGGTGACCTTATAGAGGTTTATAAAATCATGAGGGGCATGGATAGAGTGGATAGCCAAAGTCTTTTTCCTAGGTTGGGGGAGTCCAAAGCTAGAAGGTATAGGTTTAAGGTGAGAGGGGAAAGATTTAAAAAGGGACCTATGGGGCAACTTTTTCACGCAGGGGGTGGTGCGTATCTGGAATGAACTGCCGGAGGAAGTGGTGGAAACTGGTACAATTACAACATTTAAAAGACATCTGGATAGGTATATGAATAGGAAGGGTTTAGAGGGATATGGGCCAAATGCTGGCAAATGGGTCTAGGTCAGATTGGGATTCTGGGCAGCGCAGATGAGTTGGACTGAAGGATTCCTGTCTGGGGTACAGTCTCACTGGTTATAATTAACTGTCCAGCCTCTCCTGTCACTTAGTTAACATTTGTTCCTGTATAAAGCTTTGTTTTTATTTATTCATGGGATGTGGGCATCACCAACCAGGCCAGCATTTTATTATCCATCCCTAATTTTGTCAACCACATTGCTGTGGGTCTGGAGTCACATGTAAGCCAGGCCAGCTAAGGATGGCAGTTTCCTTCCCTAGATGGGGTTTCCCAATAATCAGCAATGATTCCATGGTCATCATCAGAACTCTGACTTCCAGATATTTATTGAATTCAAATTCTACCATCGGCTGTGGCAGGATTTGAACCCGGTCCCTGGAACATTACCAGGGTCCACTCGAATTAATGGAGTAGTGATAATACCACTAGGCCATCATCTCTCACAAAGTGTCTGAACTCTTAAAAGAGAGTGGCATCTGTTAAAGATGGCACAGCCAAAACAAACCCTGCATACACACACACGCACATACATGCACACGCACGCACACGCGCACACACACACGCGCGCACACGCACGCATGCACACACACGCACGCGCACACACACACACGCGCGCACGCACACACACACACGCACATGCACGCACACACACGCACACACAGTTCCAGTATTAGTCAGTCTGTGGTGACTAGGAATGATGGATTGTACCATTCCTGCTTGGGGATGTTTGGAGATTGTGTCAATACCAAAAGGCTTTTCAATACATCTTTCAAAATCTTTGTAATTTTAATTTAAAGAATCACAGATATTTGTGAGCAGATGTTAACACCTTTCAAACAATCTCTGTCTGGTATATGTGCATATGTGTCCACATAGATATATGTAATATCTGTGTGAATGTTTACATGTATATATTATGTACCGATATGAAATGTGTACATACATGGGTGAAAATATGTGTAGGTATAAAAGGAATATCTCAGATTTTCTTCACTGAATTATATTAATCTGAACGAAAACTCTCTTCTCTATACTTGGTTATTCATTGCCTGCTGCCCTGTGAACAGTAGGACGAGAATGTTCAGCATGTTGTGATGATTTTGAAAATTATGCAAACCTATCTTTATTAATTCAGAGCTGTCTGATGTTACTGGAATGTTGGAATTGTTTTATGTTCTCCAGCCAGCCAAGCGACAACAACTCCGCAAGTTACTGACAAAGAATTTATTTCTTTCAGTAAGTCAGCATGTGCTCGCAATCCTTGCACTCAGTAATTTGCAGGGGTGGAGAATGCCAAGGCGAGGAGGAGAGCTACCACAGGGGTCACATCTTTTCCCAGTAAACAACTTGTTTACCTTGGCTCTGAGGCTGGAGTGAGCAGCAGCTATTTCTCTCTCCCTCTCTCTCTCTCTCTGAAGTTGCACAGTTTCTGCTTCCTGTCGCATGCTGTCCAAAATTGTTTTCCACTTCACCTGTCAAGAGGCTGCTCAGTGAAGAAGACAGTGGTGGATAAGCATGTCTCTCTCTCTCTATCGGTCACGCCAGACAATATTCCATAACCTCCTGCAGTCTAGATTCACAGCCTTGGGAAAGGATTATTGATGAAGAACAGGAGGAGGTGGAGATGCCAGTGATAATCTTGTTGTTTATATGTGTCTATTCACAGGGCACTTCCTTCATCAGACTGACTTGGGCCGTCAAAGCCTCCTCTACTTAAAAGAGGCAGGCAGTGGTTGGTTTGGAAAGGTCAGTAGATCTCTTTATTTTTAAACTTATCGCTGGTCAACTGCTCCTTTTGGAATTCACAAATGACTTTAACTGCTCCCTTTCCACCACACACAGCAGGTATTAAAGCAGAACGACTGGTGTGTGAGCTCAGTAAAAGGATGCTTTATATTAACATTTGATTGATGAGTATCTAAATGAATGATTGCTTTCGATTCGGAAACCGCAGAAAGTATCAGACGTTGTCCAAGTTGGGATAGTTTGTTAATCAATATTGTTTCAGACTTATAGCTGCCAAGTTGAGCCTGATTCTTTATTTTCAAATAGACAATGTTATCTGTCATTTTTAGAAAGCCTGAAAAGGAGAGAAAAGCATCGAGTATCAATATTCCTTTGCCTGGTTTTTAAAATCAGAATCTGAGACCGAATAAATTGGAGGTTAGTTGCAGTTTGTTTAATAGGCAAAATGTTTTGAATCCAGCATCAAAGCAGGCGTTTTAATGAACTCCATGAGGTTATGTTTTCGTCGGTGGGAGAATTTAGCAAAAGTGTGGATGGAAGTGAGACTGAGAGAGCCTGAATGAAAGTGGTAATAAGGGGTAAAACAAAAAATAATGGGAACACTCAGCAGCTTCTGCTGCATTTATGGAGAGAGAAACTGAAGGCTAAAACTTATATTTTTATGGGTAAGTCTGACTTGAGTCATGTTTTTTGGCAGGATTTTTGCTGTGAGGCCTATTGGATTTTTCATTGTATCTTACGAAATTCACCAGACTCATTACGTATTGTGCCACTGTGGCATCTCTCACATCTGATTCCAGCCCCATCTTCCTTTGCGCCGTTTCCACAACGACTCAACATTTGATGACTAGCTGCCAAAACAGCATCGTCCTATGCGCCCACACCATCTTTAAAAGCCTGTTGCGCACCTAGACAAGCTCCGTCAGTTCTGAGCTGCCCTGCATGGTTCCTGATGTTCTACCCCCAGACATGGCAGAGAGGGGGAGTTTCACACCTTGCTTCGTAGGCCCCACTCCTGGAGGTCCCGCTGGACAGGAATGGTCCTGACACCAGACTTTATCTGCCTTCAGGAGGAGGCCACAACACCACATCATGCCCAGCCTGGTACGAGGTCTCCGCCCAGGTTGGAACAGCTTCATTCTGGAAGAATGGCTAGCCAATGTAGGAGGAGGGCAGTGTCCTTCTCCACTCCACCAGAGAGTAGATTCCACCATCTTCTCTTCAATACCTCACTCACTCTGTCTCTGCTGCCGTGCCCAACTCCCACCAAGGCTCATGTTGTACCACTCTCTCTGTTGTCAGTGACATCCTCCTTTCACCCACTCCAACACCCAACACCACTGAGTCTGCGTGCCCTCTGCACTGCCCACTCACTTGCTCGGGACACCTCCCCACCTGCACCAATAGTATCAGCTGTGCCTTTGACTTTCAGTCACCATAATAGCTGCCTGTTTCCCTCATAACCAGGCTGAAAACAGCCCACAATCAGGCAAAAAGAGTCAATCGGGGAGGTGGGCTGTCCCTTTATAAGGAGAGGATGCTGACTCCAACTGCCGTGGGTAGGCCCTGGGCTGCTTTTGGAGACTGCTCTTGTCTTACTGTGCCAGGGGGTCTGGAGCAAAAGCTTGACTGAGGTCTGCTGACAACTATGACAAGCTTTCTGGCTCAATGTCTATGTTGAACAGCATGGCAGTACAGGGATCAAAGAACCTGGTATGCCTGGCTGAGGGGACAAAGTGCAAAAAGATAAGGCAAGGCATGGGTGCTGTGAGCATCCAGGTGGGCTCAGAGTGTGTGAGTGCCGTGCCAGTGAGAGAACAGCCTGGCGAAGCAGCCTGGTCCAGTCCATGAGCTAAGTGTGTGTCCCTGACCACACACAGTGTCCTTGCTACAACATCATACAGCTCGAGATACAGCGTTGAGGTGCAGAAGCGTCATGTATGTGGATTGGAGATGTCTCATGTGAGTTGTTAGAGGCTGGCACATGTCAAATGCCAATGTACCTAGATGTGAGGTATGTGTGGCCAGTGCCCATACAGCGTGATCTGATTTCCAAAGCAGGTTGAGTAAGCAGTGAGCTGAATCCACAGCTACCCACGTCGGTTTTCCTGTTGAGTTTTCCCAACGTCTACCTTGTTCAGTGAGTTTCATGAAATGGAAGGTGGAATACTAATTAAGTTAGAACAAAGCATAAGATTCTGAAACAAAAACAGAAAACGCTGGAGAACCTCAGCAGGTCTGGCAGTTTCTGTGGAGAGAAAAATAGAGTTAATGTTTTGAGTCCAGTGACCCTGTAAGGATCTGCCCAGTGCTAACATTTCAGGTCTGTGACCTTTCTACAGTCCATCTGAGATTAGGTGAAAGGTCCCTGAACTGAAACATTAACTCCAGTTCTCTCTTCACAAAGGTCAACTCTCTCTGAGTATTTTTTAATTTCAGATTTTTAGCATTGGTGACATTTCATCTTCATAATGACAACAAAAAAAGTATTTTTCCACTTTTAGTTTTATTTGGCAATTTCCTCTCGTGCCCAAAAATAGCCTCTCAAATTAGTCTGAATCAAAATTGCCCTCTAATGGCATTTAAGTCCTTGTTAAAGAGCAATGAAGACTCACTTGCTGTGCAGTTCTCCAACTGTGGGATAAAAGTGAAGCCTGGTTTTGTAAATTGAGTCTGTGGCCTGTGAGTCTGTATATTATGAACGAAAAAGTAGTGTTGTATTGCAAAGGCTGTTCCTGAATTCATTATAACATTCAGAGATAGTAGGAACTGCAGATGCTGGAGAATCTGAGATAACAATCTGGTCTCACCTAAGTCCCCTGAAGCAACTCAAAATCATTGATCCTGAAACTGCACGTTAATGTGCAAAGGATAGACATTATTTATATTGTCAGCATGGAAATATATGGCCCAAAAAAGACAATTTTTAGTTTTGTTTTCAAAAGCCATGCATTCAATGAAATATTCATACACAAGCAGCCTTTTCAAAATAACAATGTTATAATGAAGAGAGATAACAAGGTGTAGAGCTGGATGAACACAGCAGGCCAAGCATCATCATAGAAAACAAAACTAAAAATTGTCTTTTTTGGGCCATATATTTCCATGCTGACAATATTAATAATGTCTATCCTTTGCACATTAACGTGCAGTTTCAGGATCAATGATTTTGAGTTGCTTCAGGGGACTTAGGTGAGACCAGAGTATCAGTGACAGTTGGTCAGGAAAAAGTCTTAACTTCATATGCCAACCCACAGCATGTTCGCATTTCGCTCCCAACATTTAAGCACCTCAGTGTGAATCACAGTTTTGCTGAAACTTGATTGTGCACAGCTTGATTGAGAGTGTTCAACGTTGTGTGTACAAAGTATTCAGGATTTGTCTTGATTAAATGTCCAATCCAAATACTTGAGAAGTGTGAGAGCATCATTGTTACAGCTGGGTCTTGTTTGGAACTGTTTCCTGTTACTTATGTTGATTAGTTAGCTCATTTGGCAGGGCAGCTGGTTTATGCAGAGTGATGCTAACAGCAGGGGTTCAATTACCACACTGGTTGAGGTTACCAATGAAGAACTCTCCTTCTCAACTCCTCCTCTTGCCTAAGGCATGCTGATTCTTAAAATAATCTAGCACTGGTTGCCTTTCTTTCTCTCTAATGAGAGGGCAGCACTGTGATCCAGTAGACATATGGTGACTTCCTTCAGGGTTGAGATTGTACAGAAATTTTCAAAGCAAAATGGTCCCCACTGCCACTTCCATTAATGTTTTTGTTATATTTACAATATAAAGATAAATGATGAATCCAGAACTTTCAGAATCTAGAACTAGCATGGCTGCATCAAACTTTTCCCACTTTCATCCATCTGCACCACAAGTATCACAAAGTTAGGATTTTTAAATTTGAAAGATATTCTCATCCTGGGGGCAAGATCCTAAATTCCATTTTTTTATTAAGTCTTGAAAATCTTTTATTCAGATTTTCAGAATTACGGTCCATTTCACAGTCATTTCAGAATGATGGCCTGTTTCACAGTCGTTGCTAGGCAACCTGCTGTTAGGCCTGTGTTATGATGTACCATTTCCACCAACCAATTTCAAAGCTCCATCAAAGTTAGGAACCACAACTGCACTGTTAACAAATCTGAACAGACAGTTGGTGTGCTATGAGAGTTGTCGAAGTTCTTTTGGCCGGGGAAAAATGTCCACAAATTAAACACACTCTTCATAAAACTTGTATATAACAGACAGAGGAAACATTCCCAAAAGGTTACTTCTATTTTGCTGAGTTTATTTGGGGCTTGTTAAAATATATTCAGAGATAGTAGGAACTGCAGATGCTGGAAAATCTGAGACAACAAGGTGTAGAGCTGGATGAACACAGCAGGCCAAGCAGCATCATAGGAGCAGGAAGGCTGACGTTTTGGGCCTAGACCCTTCACCTTAGTTTTCAAGTCCTTCGATGTCCTTCTCACCCCTCTCTCTTTCTCTCTGTCACCTCCTCTAGCAGCGTCACAAACTACAAGATCTCCTTCACCTTCTAACCCTGACCTTCTGCATGTTCCTGACTCCCGTTGCTGGACTATTGGCAGTCATGCCGACAACTTCCAAGGCCTTTAGCTTGGAAATTTCCTCCCGCGACCTCTCTGCCTCTCCCACCTCCTGTGAAGTGCTCCTTATAAAACTCTTTGATGAAACTTACGGTCACCCATCCAAATATCATTTTATGTGGTTCAAGTCAAATAATAGCTCCAATTTAGCTCATTTTGCTGCACTAAAGGTGCTAAGTTAGCGCAAATTATTGTTAAATTAATTGCTTGCTGCAAACTCAGAAAATAAGGATTGCGATTTGGACAATTTATGGCTTAAATTGACAAAAACAACATTGCTCAGTCAGAACAATAGGTGACTGAATCTTGAGTACATTTTGTCCAAAGCCAAGTATAGGGTTTAATGGCTGAACATCAGGATTGGTCAGTTTTCTTAGCTCTGTTTGTTTACTT